AAGAGGGCGGCCGCCGCGCTTCAGCTTCGGGACGGCGCGCCACAGCCCAGGCCGCCGCCATGTTGGGAGTGCCGCCGGCGCGCCGACCTTTCACCCTGGCAACCGCCATCACGTGCTTGCGCGCGCCGGCCCCGCCCCGGGCATTGGCCCCGCCCCCAATCAGCTAGTCCTCTCAAGGACCACCCCTCGTCCTTTTCACCCCGCCCCCGTGATCTGGCCCCACCCCGAGCCCTGATCTCTTTTTGCCCCGCCCCCGTCCGGTGGCCCCGCCCCAGAATGTAGGCCCCGCCTCGCTCCCTAGGCCTGCTCCGCCCCCGTATTTCTGGCCCCGCCCCTGCCTTGGGTCACTGTTGGTCCCGCCCCGATCTTAGTTCGCTCCCAACCACAGGTACTTCTCACCCAAGGGACTGTGAGGTCTAGGGAGCCAAATTTAGCAGGGGGACGTAGCCCATGCCAAGATGAATATGAAGTTGTGTAAATACCACGCCAGAAGTTTCAGCCTGAAATGCATTTTTAATTAGGCATAAATAAGACTCGGAAACTAGTCTCTATGTATCTGAAATTCATGCGTAACATGAATCCTGGATTTTATAAGCCAACTGTGATTTTAGCTGTCAATTTCAAACGTCCACGATGATCACCTTGACCCCTTTATAACCCAGAGGATATGGTAGAGTCACAGGGCAAAATCAGATGGCCTTCTGCTAGATTGTAGAAGGGAGACATAAACCTGACTCTTTTTTTTTTTTTTTATAGACAGGTTTCTATGGCTGGCATGGAACTGGATATATAGCTGACTCCTTGTCCTCCTGCCTCCCTAGCCCTGGCCTTACGGATGTGTACCACCATGCCTGGCTTCCACAGCTACTTAGTCTATTTCCCTGTGCTAACATTCTGCACTGTGCCAAACACTGGAGAGAATATATAGTCCAAGCCAAGCCCCAGTGCCCAGGGTCGTATAGATCAAGAGAGCGAGTGGGGGCTGTTGTGTATATGTGAGCATGCAGGCATCTCTTTGTACAAAGTTCCTGAGGTGGAGGCTGCTGAGCCCTTGTGAGGCAGAGGGAGTGAGGGGGGGGAATTGGGGGGGGAGAATTGCTTGAGGCAAAGGGAGAGAGACGCTTGCCAGGAGACAAATACAGAGAAGCCATTTGGTGTTTAATGGCCCCCAAAGGATGAGTAAGCAGACCACTGTGGAAACTGTCTCGGGGAAGTAGGCTTGAGAGGACTGGCTGCTTAAGCCTGGGTTGGTGTGTGGGAATGATCTGGACAAGGCCTGTCTGAGGCAGAAGAGCTTCAGGAAGAGCTTCCAACTCTACCAGAAGGCACAAAAGTCTAAGGCAGGATAGGATAGGGAAACGCATCCCGGATATGAGGAAGTGACTCTGGCTGAAGTCTGTCTCAACTGATAAGAATTCCAATATGCAATTAACCTTCTTGCTGACACACAGACATTTTCAAATAAGGATGTTAAAGTAGCAACAAGCCACGTTTGGACTTCTCAGTCTAAACCTGCAGGTTTCTAGGACTCTCACTAGGAACCCCATTTACAAGAAAAGCTGTGTCTCAAACCCCTTGAGGCCCAAGGTTTTGTTTTTAACAGATTGTAATCCCATCCAATGCGCCACCAGAACCACCCTATAATCTCACTTGTTGAAAAGGGGAAAAGGGAGAAGGGGAAAATTCCTTAGGAACCTGCTGAGCAAGAAGTTCTGGCAGCTTCCGAAATCCTATACATGGCATTGCTAAACCACTTGGCTATGACTGTCTTTGAGAAGCCAACACCCTGGCTGAGGTGTGCCCTGCTCTTTCTCTGAGCAACTCTCTATTAACCGCTTCGGCAAAATTTTGTTGCTTTCTTCCGACTCCGCTACCATCTGGCTAATCCTGAAATTCTTATCTATGGCAAAGTCTGGAGTTATCTAGATGGAAATCCTGGAAGGATAAGGAGAGTCCTCAGCTTGCTAGGGACCACAAGGGCTGTGTGTCTACTGATGACCAGCCCACTCTTCTCCCAGTCCACAGATGCTAGACACTTGGGGCAGGGTTCAGACAAAAGGCACAGTTAGAACACTCTGCGATCCAGGGAGTACACGGCTCTCATCCTCTTGTAAAAGCCTGGTGGCCTTTGGGTGTGTTTTATGAGAGTAACTGTCACGGTGGAGCAGGGCGATGGAACCCTGGGAGTTTGGGAAAGTCGCATGACTAAGTCATGTGACGGGTTGGTGTGGAAAGCTGAAAGCGCAGTCTAAGGGAACTTCTTAGCAGGTCCCTGACAAAGACGGACGACAGGAAAATCAAAAGTACGGGGTTAACTGAGAAATAATCATTTTCTATGAAAAATAATGACTTCTCCTGAGGCTCGTGTCAAGATTTATTGACCCAAGTGGTTACAAAGGATCAGAACCAGGGCAGGTACAGCCTGAAACCTTGGAGGGAGGGTCCTTGGGCTGAAGCTCACCGGGGTCAATACACATGAATGCCAAAGCGCTCTGCTCGCGCAGGTTAGCTAGATAAAATGTGTCTAGCACTTTCTGTGGATATACTTTCTCTCCGCCCACAGGAGTAATTTTACGGCTTGGCTCCTGCATCTACAGCAGTCTTCAGAATGCCTGGCCTGATTCTCATTAGTTTCCCGTCACCAGCTTCCCTTCAAGGACACCGTGCCAAGGCTATAGCCTGCTGCACCTGCTCTGTACCCAGGGAGGGTGGCTCTGGGGCGGTCCTGGCTGTACGGTGTGTGTAGTCCTAATAGGCCTAGGTTTCCCCACCAACCCCCATGAAACTAGGCTGGGCAGGGACATGGGGGTGCTATGAAATTTGAGGCAAATTTGCAAGGTTTTAATGGGGGAGATTTATTGCCATGCCAAACATGTGTGTGTAAAATACATAATTTCTCTCACTCAGCCTCATAAATCCAAAGGGGTTAGTGATAATTAGGGGAAAAAAAAACAAGTAAAAAAAAATACAGACCAATTCATTCCAAAAACCAGAGGCAGTCAATAGGAAAGCTGAAGGTCAAAAACGTGTCTTAAAATTGTGTACACAGGCTGGGCGGTGGTGGCGCACCTAGGAGGCAGAGGCAGGTGGATCTCTGTGAGTTCAAGGCTAGCCTGGTTACTCTGGTCTAAGAGCTAGTTACGGGACAGGCTCCAAAGCTACAGAGAAACCCTGTCTCATAAAACCAAAACCAACCAAACAAAATTATATACACAGAAGAGTACATATTCCCTGACTGGGCCAAACCTCTTTTGTGCTCTGGTACCAGCTGGGAAGCCTGGTGCAGGATCTTAGCTGGCAGATCCCTGGAGCCATGTATCTACTGGGTGTACTAGACAAAAGTTAACTTACAGAGCAGCTCATTGGAGTTAAGGGGCTGGGATGCCCTCGAGGCCAGGTTAACTGTGAGTCTGCAAGGGACTGCACAGCAGGGGCCCAAAGGAATTTAAGTGGTCTGAAAACCAGCACCTAAGTGTGCAGCAGAGGCAGGGCGAGTCTGATGGCTTGGCACCGAGGGGCTTGCCCGTTCCACCTGTTTGTTAAATTTGGGTTCACCAGAGACCTTAAGCTGGTCAGAGAAGATCATACCTTACAGCTGGGAGTCTGAGCATGGGTGGGTGGGAGAGGCCAAGCCCTGGATGGATCTGCACTGGACTCACGTCCCTAAGGCTAGCAGGATGCTCACCTATCGGGAATCCACACCCACAAGGGGCCTTCTTCTCACCCAAGAAATCAGCTGCACAACTCTGTGACAATACTAATAGTCACTAATACGTACATTTTTAAAAGAAAACTATGGTATGTGAATTTTAATCCATAAAATTTGATTAGCAGCCCAGTAGTTGTGGTGCACGCGTGCCTTTTTAACCCCAGCACTTCAAAGGCCTGATAGAAAGTGTGGAAATACAGACAGTGCCAGCCTGTAATGGGCATGAGAGAATCTCACCCATAACTGCCAAATATAGGTGATCATTGGGCATTTACAGGTTGAGACAAAGGCAGATCTCTGTGAGTTCGAGGCCAGCCTTATCTACAGAATGAGTCCTAGGAGAGTCAGAGCTATTACACTGAGAAACCCTGTCTCCAAAAAACCAAAAAGGCAAAAAATGAAAACCATTTGGTTAGAAGAGTCCAGAGAGATGGCTCAGCAGTTAAGAGTACTTGTTGCTCTGGCAGAGGACCAGGATTTGATTCCCCAGCACCCATGTTGGTGGCTCACAGATGTTTGTGACTCTAGTTCCAGGGACTCAAACCCTCTTCTGACCGCTACAGGCACCAAGGCACACACATGGCGCACATACATCCATGCAGACAAAACAGACACACACTAAAATCTTTTTGTAAAAAGTTTTTAAAAGAGAGTAGAAGGGTAGGGGTGGTGGTGGGTGGGGGATGGGACTCACAGTGGAACACTTCACTAGTTCTACAATAGGCCTTATATTCCATCTCCAACACTGGAAATTAGTGGTAACAATGTAAGCTGAGCACCGCAGGCCTGTGCTACTCAGAAGGCTGAGAAAGGGGGATTGGAGGTCGAGGGAGGAGGGAGTTCAAGGCCAGCCTGGGCGTTTCCTAAGAACCTGTCCCTCCAGGTCTTAAGTTTCTTTCTCCAGGTGCTGATAAAAAGTAAAAGGGGCTTTTTGAGATGGCTCAGTGGGTAAAGGTGCTTGCTGCCAAATCTGATGACCTGAATTTGATCCACAAAATCCACGTGGTAGGAGGAGAGAACTGACTGCCAGTTGTTCCATGACCACACACAGACACTGAGGCACCGATACACATACAAGTAAATGAATGCTAAGTAAGTGAAGAGGGGCTGGGAATGTAGTTCAGTGTTAGCACATTTTCCTAGCTTGTGCTAAAGCCTTGAGCCAGTCCTTAGTACTGGGTGGCAGGGGCTATCTTGGCATATACAGAAATATAAAGATAAGAAAAGATTTTCTGAAGATAATTTCTTCATATTTTAGACTATTTACCCAAGTAGTTCCTTTATTTTAAAAAAAAAAAACTATATACAAAACAAAAATACAATATTACCTGGCTACTGTGTTAAGTGTTCTACTGCTTTCACGCGTGGAATGTCTCACGATCAGAGAACGACATTTCCCATGGTCATGAGCTGAGTGCCAGGTCAGCGACCCAGCCTTCTCATGGGGCACAAGCCAATGTCATCGGCACAGATTACGCCTAAGCACAGTCGTTGGGGATTAAAGTAAGACGTGAGTGAGGCTGAGGGACAGAAGGGGAGTGGGGGAGGGAGGAGATCAGGGCAAAGGATGAATGTAGTCCAAGTACATGATGCACTTGGGAAACAACGCCTTTATGAGATCCAGCAAACGTCAATAAACAGGGAATTAAGACAAAGCAAATAGTGGGTGACACATGAATAGATATGCACACCCATGTATATACAAACATGTACACACCATACACATACGTGCGCACACACGTGCTGATTTAAGACACCGGAAAGTAACCTCTAGGAGTTCCGACCATTATGTGAGCCCCATCCCACGAAATCCTTCTCAACCCTGATGCAGAAAACAGAGTCAAAAGCTGCTTCTTCTAAAAGACTTCTGGGTTTGTGTAAAAGCCTTTGGGGTGTGTGGCAACTCATGCCCATAATCCTAGTACTTGGGAGGCTGAGGCAGAAAGATTTACTGACTTTGAAGCTAACCTGGGTTATAGAGCAAAACCCAGTGATATAGAAACGCATACACACAGTGCCACTTCCCCAGGGTACTGAAGACAAGACGACAAAGCTGTATGAATAAGATGTACCAGGACACCCCCACCTGCATGGGGCATCCAGGCAGAGGAGTCTACAGGGGTTTCTAGTAAGAGATCCTAGAATCCCTAAAGATAGCCTATGCCTCTAATCACTCTGAGTCCCAGAAAAGCCTCCGAGGAACTAATAAAGCAGAGAGGTTTCCACTGTAGTCTGAGGCTGTGTGCCAGCACCCAGCAACTACAGTTGGTTGGGACAGCACTCGGCTACGGGGCTGCTAGGAGTAAGTGGCAGGCAGGCTGTTCTCCCGCAGGAACACAGCAGAAACTACTAAGGGAGGAGGTTTTCCCTGACAGAAGTCACTGCTTTAGTGGCCTGTCTTCACCCTATACGTACCCCCAAACTGTTCTGTTCTAGGGGACTGACTAAAGGAGCCCATCCCTGGGCTACTCCACTTCCTGTAGAGATCCTGTATCCTAGACTCCTGGTAGGCCCAACCCCCAGCTGGATGAAGCCCTTGGGCACTGCAAACAGATTTCCTCCTCTTGATTAAACCGGTGACTTTTTTCCACACAGCAAATCCTGCAGGGTTGGATCAACAAGTCCTTGGATGTGTGTCCTGAGGGAAAGCGGCATTCTTGTGAAGAATGGTCCACTGCTCCCTTCTACAAGAGCCACCCGTGTCACTTGCCCACACTCTCAATCACCACTCTGGTCATTCTGTCCTGGAAGGGCCCCAGGGAAGAAAGCAGGCAGTCTAGGCCTTTGTCTAGTCAGCCAGGCCTATTAAGGGACAACATGTCTTTTCGGGGCCCAGTCACTGTGTTCCTGAGAAAATTATTGTGTCAGAAAGTCCCATGAGAGCAAAAAAATCAAGAGCAGGAGAGACCCTCGGCCCCTGGGGACAAGCTCTAGGCCTTGTTTGTCAGGGGTGACGAGGTATCCGCTCCCCATCTCCATGGGATGAACAAATGTCCCCCAGTCAGAAGCACTCTGTTGGAAACAGGAGACATAGCAAGCTCGAGATGGGACAGAAGAGCTGGTTCAGTTGATAGAGCTCTTGCCCTGCAAGTATGAGGCCCTACATTCAGTTCCCAGAACCAGTGTTTATAAAACAAACAAACTGGACATAGACAGCTCAGCCTGTAAAGCCTTTGCCATGCAAGCCTTGTGAGCTGAGTTTGATCCCTAGAACCCACTGCAGAAGGAACCAATTCCCAAAAGTTGTCCTCTAACCTCCACACAGGGACCATGGCATGCGCTTACACACACGCATACACACACACCCTGCTCTTCCAGAGTACTCATATCAGGTGGTTCACAACCACCTGTAACTCCAGTTCTGGGCTTCTGACTCCCTCTTCTGGGAATCCAAGCACACCTGCACACATGTAGCAGATACATACCACACACACACACACACAAACACATACACGTCAAAGGTAGGTGAACATTGGGCATTCACAGGCTGAGACAAAGCCCTGGACAGTTCCTCCATGCACTCTAGTCACTCCCCCCTCCCCGTGGCCTCCAACACTAATTTTCCCCCTTGGCCTCACTGACTCCCACATTGCCTAATTCTAGCTGGAGCCTCTGACCTCCTGGGCTTTCCTTGGCCAGCCATTGGACACCACCCCATGTAGCCTTTGATTGTACATGCCTCAATCTCTGAGGTTAGGACCGCTCAAGAGCCTGATAGAAAGTGTGGATACTCTGCCCAGGGAAATACAGAGCCAGCCTGTAATGGGCATGATAGATTTTCATAAGATCAACAGACTGCTTCAGATAACCATCCTGCCAGCCAGAGGCAGTGTGAACATTCTGTATGACAGTCCACAATGAGGAGACCTGATCCCTCAAGTCAGGTTCTTGTATAGAAAGGATAGACAGACTGACAGACAGACAGACTGACAGACAGACAGACAGACAGACAGACAGACACACACACACACACACACACACACACACACACCACAGTCGCATGTCAGATGGCTATGAGTTCCTATGGCCTAGGGGCTGTCTCCAGGGGCCAGCCCTGACAGTGCAGCCAGGGAATCACATAAGATCCTCCTGCTGAGCTGGGTAGACACCACATCCACTGGCCCAGCATCTCCTGTCCCTGGAAAATCAACACAGGCATCAGAGGCAGGGCCAAAAGCCCAATCTCTCCTACAGAGCTGCTGTCTGTCCAACAAATCCTGGAGCGTGGGCTGGTTCTCTGTCCAGCAGCTCTGGCCTTCTGTCTTCGCACTAGTGTGTTTAAGGGATTCAGCCTGGCCACCGACCACTGAGGGCACTGGGCCTGCAGGCGGGCTTTCAGAGGGTCCAAACCAGGAGGGTGAAGATGTGGCTGCCCTTCTGTCTAAGAGGTGTTCTATTCCTTGCTGGTGCTCTGCACCCTCAGAACACTGCACTGCTTCCCAGGGTCTACCCTGACTGCCTGAGGCCTCTGCAAGATTTTCTCTGGCCGCACAAGCCATTGGGGATGGACTCAGGGGCTGAGCTGACAGTCTTGGGGACATCTCTGGGGCACCGACCACCCAATTACTCAAGGGAGGTATTGAACTTAAGTCATCCAGGCTACCACCGCACCCAGATGCTCCCAGGCAGTGCCCTGACTTCTGGGGACCCTGAAAAGGGGCTTCCTCCAGAGCCCCCTCAGATAAGGAGGACATATCCTCAGCAGTAATGGACATATCCTCTCCTAGGGTGTCCAGTGAGTCACCTGGAAACATGGCCTCCTCAGGCGGAGAAGGGAAGTCTTCTGAGCTGGGGTTGGGCTCATTTATGTCATTCTTTGCTTGGGGAGTTGGAGGAGGCGGAGGGAGATGAGCGTCCCTGTGGATGGAGGATGGAAGGTCACCACTGCCATAAGACAGCTCCTCATCCACAGGAGACAGTATTTCTGTCAGGAAGCCTTCTACAAATGAGGGACTGGCTACCTCTGTGACAAGAGGAGCTTTGTCCTCAGAAGGAGCCTTTGGGGTCATGGTGGCCTTAGGATCAGGCAAGGCCTGTAGGGGCTTCTTTTGTATGAATGGACCAGTGTCAGCATCCTGTGGTTCCTCAGTAGCCATGTTTTCTTTACTGGGATCTGTTTTTTCCGAGGTGGACGTGTCCAAACAGAAGGACAGTGGCAGAGTCGAGTCATTGGTAAAAGGGGTCTGATGTGGGAACACTGTCAAGGTGGCCACAGGAGATATTTGCATGGTTTTCCCTGTATTCGATGTCCCAGTCGGGCTTCTACAGGTTCTGGAAGCTTCTTGTTCCTCCCCAGATCCCGGGGAGGTATGAGTGGCATAGGACGCTCCATTGTCTTCCATGTCCAGGGAACCACGTGCAGGCAAGGAGCTCCCTGAAGGTGGCTCAACACCAGGGCTAGGTTCTTCAAGGTTCTCCTCATTGTTCTCATCCCAGATTTGGCTGGAGGACTCTGACAACTCGGACCCCAGTCTTGGAGAAGGGGCACGTAGGAATGACAATGGCCAGCCTGCCTGAAGTAAGTTGTACCCTGGCTCTAAGTCTCCTGCCACAACTGCCTCCTCAGAGAAGCCACTCAGGAGTCTGGTCCCACTGCCTTCCAGTTTCTGTAGGGTCACTGGACCTACATCCCCAGGAGCCCCCTCCAGCTGAGGAAGTCCCTGGTGGCCCCAGAAGGCAGGCAGGCCGGGTTCCTCCCAGGAATCATGAGCAGAAAGCTCCCTAGACCAGCTGGGGTCTGCATGCAGGGCATCTTCAGCTTCCAAGCTAGACAGGGATGTGCAGCTGTTAGAAAGATGGACGAGGGTGGCCGTGGCTTTCTGGAACTCCTGGAGAGATGAACAGGAAAGGCTACTTGCTGAGCCCGCTGAGGGGGTGAGGGATAAGGCAGGGGCTTCCGAAGACCCTGAGCAGCTTCTAGAAGCAGACTTAGAATGTGTGTCCAAGATGGCAGCAGGCTGGGATGGAGGGCTGTCTAGGTGCCAGGCAGGCTGTGCCTCCTCCTCGCTGGCCACAGGAGCTGCTGAGATGAACTGAATTAGGGAGTGGCTCACAGTTCCCACACCCCTCATAGTAGACTATCCCGGAAGTGGTCCCAAACCAAAAAGATGGTCCAATAGAAGACACTAACAAGGGCGCTAGTACAAGTTACAGTCGGTGCTAATGTGCTCAGTCCTTTGATAACCCTTAGGTAATTGTCCCAGCCCCTTCCCTACTTGTGGGTCATCATGTACCGATCCCTGAGTGTCTGGATTCAGTCTATACCACCTCAGTTATTGCTAGATCTGGTGGGTGGCTCTGTTTGGCTTGTTTTGAAGTTTTAGACTCAGACTGGGGGCGGGGAGGAGTCAGCAGCTTCCCCATCCCACCCCAGGCTGTATGGAAAAGCCTCATTTTGATCTAAGAACTGGTTTTGAATAGCCTCTAAGTGAAGACTTAAGGATCTCTGGATAGCCCAGGGGTGGAGGTGAAGGAATGGGAGTCTCACCTGGGGAAGCAGCCTCCTGGTCAGCTTCCAGGTGGGTGGAGGGGATGTCTGGGTTCTCCTGCTGACAGGTTTCTCTCCTGCAAGCACAAGGTGAAGTCCTGGCTGCTAGGGAAGGAGTCTTGCCTTCCCTTTGCCTTTGCCCCAGGGCTCACAGTCAGGTGGGATGGGGGTGGGGTCTGGGCACTAAGAGGTCCCATAAGCTGACCAAGACTGTCTCTCTCCATGCTTCGGTGCCTTACCCTACCCACCTTTGCTGCTCTGACTTCCAGTGTGCCTCTTCCTGGGGTTCCCCCTTTGGGCTTCTGGAAACATCCAGGCCTTGACTTGTTCTTTTTTCAGCCACCTGCAAGAAACACATTGGAAAAGTACGATACCCATTAGGGCCTCCCCCACCTCCTCTGTTGGGGATCAAAGGCTGTGCTTCCAGAGACAAAAGGGGTCCTTGAAGAGGGCCCCAAAGATCCCAATCATCAAACACCTCCTTCCACGCTGGAAAGATTTTCTTTCCGCTCAAGCATTGAGTGCGAGGTGAAACCCACAGAACCTGCAATTAGCAGAACCGTATGGAGCACCTGGAATGTCCTCTGAGCCCTCATCCCATGACAGCCTCGTGTGGCGTACAAGGCAGCCTCTGGAGGCCACACAGCAGGCCAGTACCCCTAGAGCCTGCAGACAGCACATGGCCACAACCTGACTCACTCTGGCTTCTTCACTTAGGGACTCTCCACACGGTCCATGCAAGCTCCAAGCATGGCTGTCTGTAGGCTGTCTCTCCACTACCCAGGCTGTACTGGGCTTGGTCTGTAGGTCGCCTATGGGACAAACAGACAGTGAATACTGGCATGTATAGATCTTGGTGGGGGGGCATTGACTACCAGGAAAATTATCTGAAAATTCAAAATGGATGCAAGACTGGACTGTGGCATTTGATTAGTGTGAGTACCTACAAGATGTGCTCATGTGTTTCCCAAATTATCCTGTTAGATAGTTAGTGATATGAAGTCCTAGGGGGAGGTGAAGCACATAGAAAAATCATTTTAAATTTAAATCCAGTTGGTGGCACCCACCTTAAAACAAAAACGTGGGGGGCAAAAGGAGGCTGATCTCTATGAGTTCCAGGCTAACCTGGTTTATAAAGTGAGACCCTTGTCTCAGAAAACAAACAAGAACTGTGTATCCCTCTTTCCAGCCTTTGGGGACCTCCCATGGGTGGCTGGGAACCTTTGCCAGGGCTGTTCCTCTCCTTGTCTCAGCACTGTGCTGAGGCCCTTTAGTGCTGTGAGGGACATGGGCACTCAGGCAAGGGTAGGCCTTGGCCATGGCATGGTCTTCCATAGCAATCTAAAAGACCAGCCAAGTGGGCACAAAGCAGGGCACAGCAGAGTCAGGCTAGACCTCTGTATTCCTAGATCTGAGTCCCGTCTAGACCATGGTAGACTTTTGGGATCCTGAGGCCCAAGGCCACTGGCCTATGGGACCAGAGCTATGTTGCCTTAAACTCTCATCCAGAGCCTGGGATGGAGGCTGAGGTTGCAGGGTCATTGCAGGTAGGGCCATGGACTCTCGAATGGCCACACTGGGGTGCTCCCAAGAACCTTGCAGGAACCATCTTTTGACTAGCGAGCAGCTAGCACCAATCAGACAGCTGAATCCTGGACCATTATTAACAAGCTCACCATCCAGGTGCTTCCGTCCTCAGTCTCCTCTCCTGCAGGGTGGGTAATGAGTGTGCTCAGCTCAAGAGACAACTGGCTCCCTGGGTGTGGTATAAGTACTGGTTGGCTTCAGTACGTGACAGCTAGCCTATACATGGCCACAGGGCAGAAGCCAGTGACATGAACCACGGTGAGGGGACTAACAAATGTCCACAGAGCCCTGAACAACAGCCAACAGAGATGTGGCTTCAGCAGACAGGAAGGCCATGGAAATGTCCTCTGTATGTCCCCTGCTCACCTTGGTCACCTGTGGACCCCTGGTAAACCCCATCTGCCCCCACCCTCCTGGATAATCCTATTGCACTGGGAAGGGCTTGCTTCTTTCTATCCTAACTGACTTGGAATTCACTCTTTCCAGCCCCAGATACAAAGAGTGCCTTGGTGCTGCAGAGTCTGACAAGATTTGGATTCTGAGGGTCAATGCTGAATAGTGGGTGGAGGGGTGGAGCTTCTGAACCTAGGGCTGCAATCCAGGGGTGGGGAACTTAGAGGTGGAATCAACTCACAGAGAGCCAGCCAAGCCACGCCACGCTCTCAATGTCAGCCCTAGGGCAACCCCCCAGGGTGAGAAGTTGACTCTCCTACCCCCTGAAGATCAGTTCTGCCCTCAGGGAGGCCTCAGGGCCAAGTGCATGGTTCAGAGAGTAAAGAATTTGATATGGATACAACTGGCATCCACTAATGAAGACGCTTCTGGCGGTGCTGGTTTCTAAGCTCTTGGAAACATCTAGATAAACCAAGCTACAGCTGAAATAGCCAGACCAAGTATTGTCTTTAATGTCCCCAGAGGAGTAGCTGAGTCACCTCCCACAGGCAATGGAGTTGGCCAGTCTTCTAGCCAGGAAAGAGTCTGTGGTCTCGGGAAGGGGCCATGAGCATCCGTCCTCTTCGGCTTTCCCTGGGGACCTCCCTGTCCCTGCTTGACTGCCAGACACCAGACTTGGACAGGGTCCACTGGATGTGGGGGAAGCTCCTGGAAAGATCCACACAGGGATGGCCCACAGACAGTTTCCAGGGGCATTACCTGGAAGAAGCAGTTCCTTGGCCTCCTGTGGCTTCAGCTGAGAGACTGGGTTAACATCTTTCTCGATGACCTGTGTCAACAAGATAGAAGGAGAGTCATGATGAGAGTCCAGGAGCCACCTGGGGACAGATCTCCAAGGACTAGGATGATCAGGGCCACCAGCACCATGGGCGCTAGCTCATGGGCACCCAGGAGTCCCAACCAAGATCAAGCTATAGACTAGGAGAATGGTATGGGAGGTGCCAAACCAGCAGGGCTGGGGAAAGGGACTTCCTGAGGGTTGCATACGGGAAAGGCTGAGTGTTTATGATGTTCGGAGTCCAGGGCGCTCGAGTGCAGCAGACCAGGGGGAGAGACACAAGGCTGTTTTCCAGGTCCTGAAAAACACAATTCCTGGGGTCTAAGGGCGAGAGTTCCATGTCGCCTAGGGCTCCCGCTGCTGCTCCCAACACCCTCCCCTCCACACCTGCCTTATATTCCAGTCATAATGTTGTCTAGTTCTCTGCCCCTGTGCCCAAACCTCTTCAGCATCACCAGACATTGATGCTAGTGTCTGGGGGGGTGGGTAACTCCACCCTGTGTCCCCCAGACTGTGTGCTTAAGTATTCTGGGGTGCTCAACTCATAAGCTGCAAACCTGGGAACGAGAGCTTATTTGTAAGAGGGCCTTTGCAGATATAATTTAGAATCTCTAGACAAGCTCATCTTAGAGTTGGGCAGGTCGTAACTCTAAAAGAAACGGGAGAGGGCTGCTCTTTCAATTCCCAGCAACCACATGGTGGCTCACAACCATCTGTAATGGGGTCTGGTGCCCTCTTCTGGCCTGCAGGCATACACACAGACAGAATATTGTATACATAATAATAATAAAAAAAAGAAACGGGAGAGGAAATGGACACAGGAGAAAAGAGACAGGCACAGGGAGACAGAGTCTGGAGACAACCTTAGATCTGGGGAACATCTGGAGCCAAAAGGAGCTAGAAGGACCTTGTCCTGGAGCCTTTGGAGGGAACACAGATTTTCCCCTTCTGGTCTCCAGAATGTGAAAGCACACATTTGCTTGAGTCATTCAGCTTGCAGAACTCTGAGTGGCAGTCTCCAAAAATGAATATCACATTTATCTCATCATAAGGAAGAGACTGAGGTCAGGGAGGGGAGGAACATGGTGGAGGCAGAATGGAGCACAGGCCAAGTGGTCACACCAGCAGACTGTGGATTGATGGAGGCAGAGGGTGCACCCTTATTTTCCTGGATTCTTCCTTGGGGGACAGAGAGCAAATCTACCAGGCCACAGCAAGATGGGGAGGGACAGCCAGGAATCATGTTAGACTGCTTCCTATTATGTTTCTGCCCTGAACCGGGAAAACACTCCCTTTATGCCAGGGAAGGGCATGCTCAGTCTCAGTCCTTGCCTGGCAGCAGGGGGATATGGCTCAGCCTCAGTCTTTGCCTGGCAGCAGTGGGACATGGCCAGGCCTTGCTGCTGACAGGTTTGTGTTCTGACAGCCCCAGGCCTGCAGTGATGACCGGTCACATTAGCTCTGAGCAGCTGCTCCTCTGCAGCAGGAGAGCCTGTCTGTGCAATTTCCCATGACATCCCATGTTCTGCGTCTCCGAGTATGGTGAGGGGTGGTCCAATGGGCACTCTGCTGCAACTCAGATGTGCCCAGGGAGGCCTGGGTAGCCCAGGTCACACACTGGCCTGTTGGCCTAGTATGTAGGACTGTCTCGCCCCAAGCTTAATGTTGCCCCCACAGAAGGCTGGCGCCGACAGATTGAGCGATTATCTGTTTTTGGCTGGTCACTGCCGCAGCCCTGGACTACCTTGGCTGTCATGTCCACTCTCCACAGATGGGCTTCCAGTCCCCGGTGTGACACCTGCCCACTTCAGCCTCCGAGGCTGCAGGAGCTTATCTGCAGCTGAAGTTGTCTGGGGAGGTGCCACTTCCTTCTGCTCTGGAGAAAGGCTGCAGGACAAGACACAGCAGACTAGATGTGAGTGGACCTCCAGCTGCTCCAGCCAGGGTGCCCATCCCTGACCACAGGACTCAGCAAGTCCTTGTCCCTAGAACCACCTTGAGCAACTGGACTAGTGGCCAAGCAGAAGACAGGGTCTTGGTCCCTCTTCACTCAGCAGCTTCCCAAGCAGGGCCTGGGCCTCAGATGGAGCAGCTGCTATGGGGCATGGAGGGGGCCTAGGAGCTCTGGTCCTTTCCTTGTTGCCTGGGCCCACCATCGTGTGTGAACCAGTCAGCCTGCCTCTTAAGGTCCTGGGGACAGTCCAGAGGTTAAAAAGGGAGGGCTCTGCCTAGGGGCAGCTTCTGGGTCCTGGCAGTTTCACCAACATCAAGTGCTGTAGGTCCGTTCATGACCTGGAACAGGCATGCTATCCTGGCCCAGTCTGCACTCTGCTGACAGGCACAGAGAGGAGGGTCCAGAGTGACTGTTCTTGCCAAGGCTGTTGAGAGGTACCAGAGAAAGCTCTAGAAGATCTTCTCTCTTGCAGGCCAGCCTGAGGGAGGTGATTCCATCCCCAACCCCACCCTCAAGGTGGAGGAAGGAAGCCCAGGAACTAATCACTAGGGCCTGGGGGGTGATAGCCTTCCCAGGACTGGCAGTGGGTGCCTGGGGAAGAGAGGACTACCAGGATGAGAACCATCTACAGATCACTCCGCCCCGACAGTGCCGCTGGGTGGAGCACAGTGTTTCCTGCTGTGGACTAGCACTTTAACCGTAGGCAGGCTGTTACATTTGTTTACCCTGCGTCTGTTTAATGTTGTAAAGATATGCTGCTTTTATCTGTGCTGCGTTTGTTCAGGTAAAGATGCGTTGCTTTGTTGGCCTAAGGAACTTGATTACTTGATTGGTCTAATAAAAAGCTGAGCTGCCAATAGCAAGGCAGTGGAGGGATAGGAGGGGCTGGTGGACAGAGAGGGGAGAGGGAGGGATGGAGGGAAAGAGAGAGAGAGAGAGAGAGAGAGAGAGAGAGAGAGAGAGAGAGAGAG